ATCAATTAATCTAGAAAATAATTGGTTAATAATGAAAAAAGTGGGTTGCAGCCCCCTTACCTCCAACATATATTCAGTGTATAATTTTCTTATCTGCCTTATAATAACGTCTGATCCCATTTTTAGACTAAAAGACTATTTCGTTTGTGATCTTCTACCTTTGTTTCAATAAAGTGAATAAATCTGTTCAAACAGCAGCAAATACACAGATATCTGCCTCAGGTGTGAAGATGTCAAAATAAAGCGAGGGAGACAAAAGGAAGAAGCCGAGGGATGTAACTTACATAGACAGAGCGAGTGAAACAACACAATGCAGCATGTTGATGTCAGCAAAAGATGACAGGACGGACTGAACAGGAGAGACTGCTGATCATTGTCAGGTACACAAGGCCAAAGGTCAACTTGTCCTCTCTTCTTTATCTCTCTCTCTCTCTCACTTGCTGTCTCTTTATCTCTCTCGCTCCTCCGCCTCCTCCTCCCGTCCAGCAGCCCTGGGCAGCTGCGTCAGATTTCACGCACGCATTCCCACCGTGCTGTAATCTACCCTGACAGCACACTTAGGTTAGTGTTTTGCTTTTTTTGTCCGTATGTTTACAAAAATGCAGATTACGTGTTCCACTGCATATTCACAATTAGCTGTTGCCGAGGAGAGTTTTATTGCAGAAGTTAATCGCAAGTGACGCTGGTGTTTTTTGATGAGGGGAGGGCATGGATAGGGAGGACTTGGCAGCAGAAGAGTGGAGGTATCCAGAGGTATTTGTTGTAAGACCTGAAATGGGAGGAAAGCACATTCTGGGAGATAAATGAAAATGAGAAATCTATAAAGAGGATTGATCAGGCTGGAGTGTGGGGAGCAGGGTGGAGAGAGAGAGGGGGGGAGGGGAAAGAGAGAGATGAGACACAGAGATGAGAGAGAGAGAGAGGGAGAAGGAAGAGAGAGAGAGAGGAGAGGAGAGAGAGAACTAGAGGCCCTAGGGGCCCGGCTGGTCGTAGGGCCACCTGCGCCAAGGCGCCGGCCTGTCCACATTGTGTGCAAGTATCTGTGAGTGATAAAGAGGGGAGTTTTAATTGTGAGTGACTCTGTCTTCATGTGTACATAATCACATTACATAGGAGCATTCAGTGTGACAATGTGGGTTTCTGAAAGCTGATAATGGCTGTGCTCGTTATTCATGCTGTGAAGCGTAGGCTTTAGCCACTAGAATAAAGTGACAAATGTACCTGATGGTGGCCGATCATGCATCTAATAAAACATACATTATACTGCTAATATCATGTAGACATAATAGAGTAGGGCTGCATTTTATGAAATCCAAATCCATCTAGTCAGGAATTTGCTTATTAAATCTATTTAACTTCAGCCGTCAACAGTTGTGACTAAAGGTAAAAATGACTTAAATATTCAGCTGAGATCTGAGAAGGCAAAAACACTTCCATTTTGAGTGGCAGCCTAATTAATGCTCACAACCTGTGCTGTAGCTACAACCTGACAATGAGATGATATAAAATGTTGATTAAATGAATCTGACACACCGGAAAAGCTGATGTTTACACTTTACATTCAGAACTATTAAGTTTATGCTGAATATTTTCATACACATGATACGTTTGGAAGCTTACCTGGGAAAATGACAACTATAAATTAAATCTGAAAATAACTTTCAGCAAATGCTTATTTAGTTTTGATGGAAACATTTATGTATCTTCCTCTAGGGAACCATCTCGGCTATAATCTGTTATTTTTCTTAGATATAACATGCTTTGTTTCCCTTTTTCACAGACATTTAGAGTTTGTATTTTTATATTGAGTGCTGTTGGAATTAATTAAAGCCGTAATGCTGATCATTTTGCCCTGATAGCATTGGAGATCAATTTGCCCATCACTTTGGTCTAGACAAAGATATTTAAACAATTATTGGACGGTTACCATGTAACTTGACATCTATGACCCCCAGACTCCTGATATGATTCCCTAAATATATGACCCACTAATCTTTTCTCTTGCACTGTTTTTTCCTAAACTTTGCATACCAGAAATCTTGCAATCAAATAGGCAGATTTCTATTATTTTAATAAAGCACTATCATGCTCTGAGGGGGATAAAATCCTCTGATTCAAACAACTCCATGGCCTTTCCCTCAAGTGCCCATTACTGACAACTTGATGTATGTTGTTTAGTTAGTCTAGCTAAAAGGGCTTTATTATGCACTTTTTGTTTTATTAATATTTAATTAATTAATTAGCTGCTAATATTTAACCACCCACTGCTTTGCCTTCTATACAGTAGCAGTATGTATAACTTTCACAAAGTGTTAGTACAATGGAAAAATAGGGGAATATGAACAAGGGATGAATTTGTCAGTAGACCAGATTTGTATCTTTTTGTTTATTGTTGTAAAAATAATCAATAAAGTGTGTAACTTGAACCTTTAAAATTTTTTATTTAAGTCATTTTTTTATTTTCTTGATGTCCATTGTCCATTAAAAAAAAAAAGCCACATATTTAATTTAAATTAAATACATAATAATAAATATAATCAGTCAGTTCTGGTTAAGCGCTTTGTGAGACCAACCAGTTTTACAATAAATATGATAATAAATGTCTTAACACCAACATCAACCTGATATAATGATAAAGTGATACCTAGTCTAACTGCACCACACACACACACACACACA